GTTTCAAAAATTTGGAAAAATTGGCAAAATGAGTCAAAATATCGGTTAGAGAGTAAACCGATCACTACTCTGGGCTACCGGTCTATACACTGCACGCCGGATCTCGATTCAAGGTTCTCGAGATTCAATTCTTCTCTCTCCCAAATTCTCGAATTTTCTTGAAAATTGGGGTCCTGAGACAAAAAGACTTGAATCTCGAGAACCTTGAATCGAGATCCGGCGTGCAATATACTGATCGGTAGCGCAGTGTCTTAGCTCTGATTTAAGCCATTAACCATCCTTCTGGAATGTTCCAGTAAAAATTTATGGCAAAAAAGGCCCCTGGGGGGATTATGACCAGGGGATTTTGACCTAGTCTGAAATGTCGTCAAGTCATTAAAAAAAGTTTGGTGTGGAACATGCGAAAAACCCCAAATATGACGCCACGCTTAAGCCTAACTATAAATCTTAGCTTAAGCTTAAGATGGCGCCTTATAAGACGTTTTTCAGCATAAAATAGAGGTTTTTCCAATGTACACACACCACATGATTGCCTGATTGCCTGCATACATGGGCCGGGGCTGGTGATGCAGAAGTGTCTGTTTCCCGAATTTTTTGCACATTTTTCAGATTTCAGGGATTGAAACCACCAAACGCTCTCCCCCGCCCCCTCCAGGTAGATTATTGCACCTTTTCGGCGTGATGAATCACCTCGACGTGATGAATCACGTCCTCATCATTTCACTTCCGGATTGCTTATCAAAAAATGCGTTCTGACATTTTTATTTCCGTTTCAATCTCATAAATGACCCTCATAACACTCAATTATCCCATGAGATGCTTCCTCTAACCTCGTGAGAAAAACAAAGACTCAAGAGTTCTCCCAAAAACAAAGGCCCCAAAGCACATTTCCGCGCAATCAACAATTCTTTTATTTGAATCCCTTCCCAAAAAGTGACTAATCCTATAAAAACCGGAAAAAGGAACAATATAACTATTTATATATTCAAAAGAGCCCAAACCAAATTCAAAAGATCTTTCAATACTTTTTCTTAATTGGCAAATTCCCAAAGCCCCTATACTATTATACGGAAAATAACGGGATCCTGAATGAAATTTTTCAGGATAATGAAGCAAGAAATGGCTAAGAGGTTAAGGACTTCCTGGATCAGTCTTTCCTGGAATCGTATAGTCAAATGCCTTAGGATGTCCAGTTATATGACGTTGCGGTATGCTATTCAAGACACAAAAAAAGACTAAAAATAAGGAAAAGCGATGACAAAAGAATAAATTTGTCCAAATCCAAATCCTTAATTTCAGTTTTGTTTTACGGATTCTTTAACGGTTCGCTTTCCTGGAAGATGCGCCATGGATTTGATTCATTCCCAAATCAAAATAGGTGACTCATTAGAGTGATGAATTTTTTGATGAGTGAGAATGATGCAAGGTACAAGGAAATACTAAAAAGAATAAGGCTTCTATTTGTGAATAAGTAGCCAGGGAACTCATAAAGAATCCATATATGGACATATGATTAGGAGATCTCTGTGTTTGAGGAAAGTAATTTAGCATAGGGCTTCCATAAACTCTTACAATATTTTGGGTTTATTTTATACCTGTTGTGCTCCTGGTAAAGTAAAAACATACGACTTTTTACAGAGAAAAGTCATTTTGTTACAAAAAGGAGTCAATTTTATAATCGAAAAAATGCTCTCCTGAAACAAGTTTTTTAAAGGGCACGGAAACAAAAAAAAGGAATTGCCATGACAAATCAAGGAAAACTGTAAAGCAAATGTCTTTTACCTGAGACAAACCCATTTGAGGGGCAGTAATTTGAGGGGGGTAGGAAATTGAGGGGGCAGTAATTAGAGGATTTACGGTAATAGAACAAATCACGTAGTTTCTAAGCTGGCTCGTTTGAAATCCAACCATCTAAAGGGAAGATTTTTTTAATAGAAACAGACTTTCAGACTTGATTTTCAAAGCTATCCACTCTCTAAGACTTTTCCACTTGGGACCAATTTCAGTTTGAGAAATTTGTACAAAAACCTCGATTTTGACGAAAAGCGAAAAATCTGAGTATACCGGTGGATTAAGCTTAAAAAGTTGGTATATAGTGATCATGATCAGATTTTGTATTCAAATGAATTGAAATTGGTCCCAAGTGGAAAAGTCTTAGAGAGTGGATAGCTTTAAAAATCAAGTCTGAAAGTCAGTTTCTATTAGAAAAATCTTCCATTTAAATTTACTTCCTCATTACACCTAGAAATGGTAAACTATGCAGGTCTTCAAAGGAAAATTGGCCAAAGAGCGAAAGAGAAAAATTGTGAGACCGATTCTCAAAAGCTGGCATTACCTCAGAATCTCGAACCTTCTCATACCTGGCGAACATTTTTCGATGTACTATTCCAAAACATGCGTGGGAAAGTGAAAAGGTTTCCGTTTCTCCGTTATTTTTTCCTATGTTAGTTTCCGTTATTTGAGCGCTTACTCAGAAAATCTTTTGAACTTGGGCGACAACAATGGTCTTGAAATTGGGCCATGGGAAATTATGCGACAAAGAATCGTTCGAAGTGCAAAGAATTGCACCTCACAAGTTCTCGAATGTCACCTGTTTCGAGGAACAGATTTGTGTTTGCGAAAGAAAGACAACGTTCTCGAAAATGGGAGTCTGAACCTGCGATTGTTGCCAGAAATTCCTCGAATTCCAGACATTCCAAGTAAAGTTGCGACAAGGTAAATGTCACGAGACACCAAAAAAGTTTAGCTAAAATTTAAGCTTAAGTTTTGAGTAATACCTTAAAATGTTCCTAGGTTTTAAGTGAACAATCCTTACAAGGGCATGCTCTAATGATTAGGCTTTAGGCAAGATTTGTTTTTAGGCTTATGCTCCCGAACAACCCATATAAGGGCATAATGAATGGCATTAGGCTTAACCCTTCATTGCCGAACCGTAGGATCTTTGATTTTATTCGATTTTCGGGACCCTTGGGGGTCACTAATAACGGGAAAAATATTATTTTTTCGAAATTCGATCTAAAATGGCGATTTTCAGGAACTCGAAAATTTGGCGCGAATTCAAATTTCTGCCGAAAAAATCAGGTCCTGCAGGGAATTTGACAAGCTTATTGGATTCCGCATAGCCGATTTACTCGGCAAATTTTTTTAATTTCCGCAAAAGGTGCAAAATTTCGAAAGTTACGAAGGTTTTGAGAAATTACAAAATTTACGCTGACCCGCCAAAATTCGTCAATTTTCTTCCATTTTCTGTGGTGTGTCTCGAAAATGGCCATTTTTCAGGGCAATATCGTAGATAAAGTGGCTAAACAAATTACATGTCCTCATTCAGGACAAAAAGTTGGCTATATAAGAGCAATATCAGATTTGAGCTAGGAGGTATGAAAATTGGACAAAAATTACTCCAAAGTTTACGTATCTAATTAGATACACTGGGAAATGAAGGGTTAAGCCGGTTCATTGATCTAAAACACAAAAACTAATTACATATCCTGATTCAGGACAAAAAGTTGGCTATATAAGAGCAATATCAGATTTGAGATAGGAGGCCAAAAAATTGGACAAAAATTACTCCAAAGTTTGCGTATATTAAAGGATACACTAGGCAATGAAGAGTTAAGGGTTCTCCTGGAGGTGAATGGCCTTTTAGAACTTAATGGCCAGCCTTTTAGCAGCATTTTAAGGCATCACTCAAAGCTTAAGCTTAAATCTGAGCAAAACAAGAAGTCCGTCTGCAAAAATCCTATTGCCCAAAACATGGGCCAAGAAAGAAACCAAAACCGCTACTCTCGAAACCCGCACAATGGCTAATGATGCCAAGCGACGATGAGTAAACTCAATTTCCTCTTTGACAAAAAACTTACTTCCTGCAAATTGCAAAATAGTTCAAAGTCTCGACTATTATTACGTGTAATCAATAGTCAGAAAAAAGTGGAAGGACAGGAGGGCAAGCTTCCAAAGCAAAAAGAGAGCGTTTTCCTCGTTTGATGTCTCATTTTTTGCTATTGTTATTTTGATTCAGAGCCAAAATTTTGATTCATATTTGAGAGATGAAAAAAGAGTCATTTTGAGGGTCTGTTATGATAACGGTTTGAAATAATGTTGCCGTCAGATCGAACGTTTAGAGCTCGATCAAGGTTATTAATGATTGAAAAAGATTCGTCAATTTGAACTGAATTGAATGAATCGATTAAAATTGAAATGATTAAAATTGAAAGTATAAATGGTTTTATCAAAACGTTACAAAGTTTTCAGCAGCCTAAGCTAAAATTTAAGCCTAAAGATAAAAAACTTCGTATGCTAAAGTCCAGGCATGCTTAGCTCCATTTCATGCTCTAGCCCATGCTTTCTTTCGATGAAACTTAAAAGTACAAACAAACAATGATATAAAATTCACAAATAATATGGCTCTCGCTTTTTGAGTCGCACGAAAAATGTTGACATCTTCAAATGGGCCGCTTTGCATTTCGAATGAATGCCTGCGGGCATGACCGCATAAACAAGAAAAAATGCTTTCAAATAAAGTGAACTTTTATTTTATTTAACAAATTGGATTTTTACGAGGAACAGCGAAAATAAAAAACCACTTTGAATCTAAATCCGTGTTTCAATTTTCCAAAGTGAATGTTTAATTTCTAAGTTACCCACTCCGCATCATTCTTGAATGACGCCAGGTGTTTTCCTTCAAGCAATCTACACAAATTGGGACTTACTTTTTTCTTTAAAGTTAAAAAAAGACTCCCTTTAATTTAAAGGGCAACTTTTGCCCTTTAAAATCACGCCATTTTTTACATTCGCCTTTGCACAAGCTCATTCGAAGCCGTAAGTACGATCTCGAATTTAAGTGATCAAAAAAAGAAATTGGACGCTTTATCAAGATGACACATCTTTCTTTTCATTTCAAGATTAACTTCAAATATAAATATATGCAAATCCAGTTTCGTTACGTCCTTGGTGACGTCACAAAAACTAAATGGCATTCCAATCAAGAATGTAAAAAACTATGATCTCGGCCGGGCACGATCCGGCGGCCTTCTGCGTGTAAAGCAGACGTGATAACCACTACACCACGAGACCACGATGATTAAATTGAGCGAAAGTCTCATTTGTTCTCGCTCTATTTGTTCTCGCTCTATATTTTTCCTCCCATGGTATGTGAGGGAACTTAGAACACAGTATCCATGTATACAAAATTTTTAATCAGACTCCCGTAGGGAGTCCCAAACCGTTAGTTTTTTTTCTGGTAGTCTACTTTATTAACTCAAGATTAAAACCTTCTGGGCTTATCTTTTACACAATTATGCTTCTCTTACGACAGTCTCTTACTACAGTCGAGATAAGGTCAAGGTTCTTCTTCATCTTGAAAGTAATTGACAAATCAGAGTCAAACTAGGTCCCGACTTCTGCGGATTTCAATCTTTGGTTGCCAAAAAAAGGCAACTCCAAGCCAATTTCACTCAAGAATAGAGATATTATAAAAGTAATATTATAGTCACTCTGATAAAATGATATTGGTGTTACTATTATTATGAAGTACATCCTAGAGTTAAAAAGGTCCTTCCTTAATTTTTTTAACTGCACTTATGCACAGCCAGACGTCTGCAGAGCCGCTCCGTATGAATCATCCAAAATTAGTGCCAGACGTTTGTTACTGCGGTAAATGAATGGACTATCAACAGAAGAATTTTTAATTTGGTCTCGTAACAAATGACAGATTGAAGTCGAAATTCGCATTGCTTTGAAAGTTTATTTTTATTTGTGTTTTTATTTGTATGCAGATTTTGGGTCCAGGTCCAAATAGTTATTAGATTTATGATTATTTTTGGCCAATAATCAGATTAATGTTTCTCAGACATTCATATTTTTGTGTTAGGTTGTTAATACGATAAGACCAATAATCTTCCCCTTTAGTTTTTTTCTGAGTATCATAGCAGCACTCAAATTTTTCTGTACCTGTTCTATACCGGTTCTGAATTCCAGTTTAGTAAATTTCTTCTTGATTTAGAGAGATAGAGATTAAGTGGGATAATAATAGCCTTAAATCTCAATACCGAGATTTTGTACCCATTTTTATTTCATTTTCCAATCCTTAGTTAGCAAAGCAAAGCAAAGCTCTCAAAAGACCTTCTAATCAAACAACAAAATGTTTGGCATTATGAATCAAGCGCCGAAATTTGAAAGAACGTTTGAAATAAATTTTGTCTGTAAATTATTCGATGATTTCTAACGGAACATTGTGTTAAAATTTTTGTATGAAATGGTTATTTCAAGTTAAAGAGAATTTCTATATTATCCGTACAATGTTATCCAATTTTGTGTCCATTTTCTACATAAAATACTTTTATTATCCAGCATTTGATTGAATTGATATGAAACAGCTCGTGAGAAATTAATTTATTCAGTTTCCAGGATGACCGAACCTTTAAAGTTCTTCAAAGTGGACCACACAACAATCTATCAGGATGGCTTCTCGTATTCATTCTATCGCGATCTCGATCCTCCAAAGTCAAGTGCCGATCTTCAATTGCATCAGTCATTTCATTGCGCACTCAGAAGTGCTCAAGAACAGAACTGCCGAAGCCGATGTCACGTCACCGGAAACTGGCAAATGGACAAGAAAGGAAGCAAATTCATGCTGGGAATTGTCAAGAAAGCCGACCACACGCATGGCCCGGAGTACAGGGGTGAGAGTTATAAAGTTTCTAGACCGATTCTTGAGTAAAGTACATGATGGTCTCTCATATGACCTAAATGATATAGTCTATGCTAATTTCTAGACTGATTCTTAAGTAAAATAGATATAAGAGTAAAATATAAAATTTTACAAAAGATTGCAATCAAACGTCTCAAAGTGAAAAAATGCAAATCCTCAAAAGATGTTCTATCAATTTATTCTTAAAATTCTTCTTATTAATTATTAATAATTTTTATTTAACTGGAACATAGAATTTATAGCCATATTGCCTTATGCAATGCAAGTCAAAATTTTGAAAACCTAACTTCCCAAAGTTATATTCTGTTGATAGATAGTATTAAAATTGAAATCAGAGATCTAAATCTCAAAAACTATACAACTTTCAGACCCAATTTTTAATTGTTGCTTCAATTGTAACGGGCATTTGCGGTTCCATTAATAACTCACCGAGACTTACAAAATGAACTATCACACAGCCCTGTAGCTCATCCAATTTTCCTCATTGACGCCGCTGTAATACTGTTAGGGGGATATAAGCTCTTAAGTAACCTAATGAAAATTCCGACAAAGAGAATTAATCATAATGCAGTCATATTATTCATTTCAGACACGATTCCTAAATTCCGATTCTACAAAAACAACGATGAAAGTCTCCACCGCAATGGCTTTGATTATTCACTCTATCGCGAATTGGATCCACCAAAACAGATCGCAGATTTCCAATGGCAACAGACTTATCGCTGCTCGATGAGCGATCAAGAAAATTGTCGTGCCAGGATTTATACCACGGGCCAATGGGAAAAGAACAAGCACGAATTGGAGTATCAGTTAGGGATCTTCAAGAATTGCATTCACAGTCACGGATCAGAGCAGGTTGGTTGGTTGAAAGTAATTGGTTTTCGTTTCGCTAAGTCTTAATGACTTTCTTTTTACAGAATTCGAAAGAAGAAGAGAAGGAAAACATCGGCGTTAAAAGGATTGTGGCACCTGCATCCTCCGCGATTCGCACTCAAGATCTCGGTATGAACAACTCCTAATGTTTCTTTACATGTTCCTCTTCTCTGAGTATATGAATGAGACCTAAAAGTATTGCAACAGTTGCGCCATTTTTATATTTGTTTGATAGTTTCGACTCGAGTGATAGTTTTAAAAATCGGAGTAATCCCTTAGCGTTTGTTTTAAATATGATTTAGTAATCTTAAGAGGAATTCGTAAAGCAAAATTTGTGTTACCATATTTAATGTTGTGGTTATCCTGAAAATATATGAATGCAATTAAAAATATCGGAATATTTTTTAAGTTGAATTTGTTTATTCGCTCCTAAGATAGAGAGCAGTCCTACAAGACAATGTTACTTTCAGTCGGATTATGACGCACGTTTTGAGCCACACGTCAGCTCGGGTTTAATGTTATGCTTACTATAGGCTATTATATCTAGCAATGACCTGAAGCCATTTCTTAGCATTTGTTTTAAATATGATTTAATAAGCTTAAGATGTACTCCTAAACTAAAAATGGGCTTATTTAGTCTCAAAATGGGGATTTAGTCTCAAAATAAGTTCAGGTGGTGTTTTTTGCATTTGCTATCATTTCAAGCTAATGATTTTTTCATCAAAATAAAGTGGCAGCAAATACGGATTTTTTGTCGAATTGTAATTATCAGTGACTAATTTTGTAAAATTAGGATCTTTAAATAAAATAAAAATACTATTTTCAATCTTTTAGATAAGAAGGAACAAATACGATTCTACAAACACAAAGAGACTGGAGTGCAACACAACGGATTTGTTTACAGTCAGTCTCAAGAATTGAAAAGCCACCCGCAATGGAGATGTCGAATGAGATGTCAACGACAAATCAATGGCAAAAAGTCTTGCAAAGGATGCATATGGACCACCGGGAAATGGGAAAAAGACGATCGCGGGAGGGAATTCCAAATCGGTATTATCATGAATAATGAACACGATCACGAGCCATATCAGGTTATTTTAGAAAAATTTCTACTTGAAGCAAAAAATTAATTAGAACATGAATGAAACAATGAGCAGTAAGAAGAGCATAAATAGTTTATTTATTTCCTTTGCAAAACACAAAAAAAAACCAGAAATGTCTAGTTTATAATTTTGCAGATTTCGATCCAAGGAAAAGTTAACGACAATGATGGTAAGATTATGACAGGGCATTCGTTGTTTAGACAAAAAAATTTTAGTGACTGAAGCCGGCTCGAAATTTTACCAATACAAAGGAAAGATGGTATACCGCGACGGATATGTTTACTGTGTTGAACACAAGCTGAAGAGCAGTCCACCTTGGAAAGTTCGAATGCAGTGCAATCGATTAAACAAAACATTCCATTGCAAAGGTTCCATATGGGCTACAGGTGAATGGGAAACTGACAAACTGGGAAGGGTCTATCAGCGCGGTATTCTGAGGGGAGGTCACTCTCACGGCCCTTATGAGGTTGTTTCTTTTCAAAATTAAAAATTATTTACACACACATTCTTAACTGTATGTTTCAGCAATTTCTCAACGAAGATACTACAACCCATGTTGGGAGCCATATGGATGGCAAGGTTAGTGATAGCTTTCTATTAGCTTTTTTTGCAAAAACATTTGTGGGATAAACTGATTTACCTGGGAAACCTTTTGATTTTAAAAGGACTTTTTTCCAGAAATTTTTCTACACATTATTTGTTAAACATTCTTTTTGTTGAAGAACTTCTTAAAACCGTTCAAACGGACTCTTAGTTTATCATTTTCAGCAATCACTCAATGAGGATGATGACGTAGTGATAGTCGAAGATTGAGAATCCGTGAATGTTATGGTTAGTTACGTATTGTCTAAGCAATTTTCGTATATTTATTTTTTCTTCTAAACATATTTCCGAAAATATATTAAAGATAGTCAATAATTCGAAAAAATGTTCAATATAGATATTTTATGAATTTAACGTCTTCTTAAAAGACGAACATCATTTTTGACAAAATTTTCTACCTCGTAGGTGTATGCTTTTCGTATATCATAAAAATTATCATGACTTGAGCTGTCCAGGTCATTCGAAAGATTCATTTTACTCAATCCATTTCAGTGACGGAATCCCATTTCAAGTACCGGCTCCAAGTTCTTCCAAAGCCCAGTCCTTTTTCTCTCAGCTCCCAGTTCTCAAGTTCATTCCAAGTGCAAGCGACAAATTTATCATTATGTTTCTTCCAGATGTCAACACAAATTTTGTTTCTTCTTGCCACGCTTTGAAAATACACTGCCACATTATATTGTCAGAATTCTATCATCGAATGTTTATTTGTATAAAAGTTGTTATAAAAACTTGTTATAATATTTTGAATAATGCTCTCCTTGTTTTCATTTGAAATGTTTATTTGT